CATAATTGATAATTAAAAGTCATATATTGGTATTAGCTTTAAAAGACAATATTTATATAAGTTGATCTTGAAATAAGATTTTATTTTCATTTTTTAAAAGAATATATAATTTTTTAATAGAATACATATTCTTTTTTTAAATATTATTAAATTAATACAAAATTAAATTTAAAAAAAATATTTCTAATAATGAATAATCAATAGATGAAAAAACTTACCCAGTGGATTTTCATTGTGACTAGCAACAATATTATGATTTTCTAATCTTGATATATCAGTTAATAATCTCAATAATCCTAATTTTTTTAATAACTTTTCGAAACCTTCCATTGTTATACTTGTACCATCTCCATAAGTTTCAAAAATTTTTTTCATGAAATATTTTTCATCTAAAACATCTACATCATTTCTTTTTGTCCTGATTTTATTAAAAGGACTTTGACTTTTGTCAAATTGTATTATATTCAATTTACTATTGTGTGTAATTTCAAATTGGCCTAGTCTTTCTGATATTTCCATATCCTTCAAATTTGTAGAATCTTGTTTTATCATTGGCTTATGATTATTTTGAATGTTAATTTCTATATTTTCTAGATTTTTCTTTTTAGTATGGACTTCATTTGTGGCAACTGACATCAATAAAGTAGTTTTATTTCTGGTATTTTTATCTAATACATTATAAAATTTAACAGCACCATTATTATAACCATCTAAATTATTTAAATTTAATTTTCTCACATCCTTTTGCTGTATTTCTTTGAACTTCATTAATGACCAAGATGGTTGTAATTGTTCATTAGGTCGTAATAATTTTTCAGAATTATGAGTTGTTTGTCCTGAGGTTGAAAATTCAGTATGTGCTGAACATGGAGTATGTGCAGCACATAAAACACAAACTACACAAACTGTGACAAAATGATGTGACATGTTGTATATCCTGTAAAATAAAATAAAAGATTTTAATTTATATACAAATAATTTATATACATATATATATAAAACTTAATATTTACCTTTATCATATTTTAGTTTATCATATAATAATGAAATTATTATTATTAATTATTAATTTATCATAAAATAATGAAATAATATTAAAGATTATGTTCAAATTACATATTTTTGTATTATGATCTATTCATCATTAGAACAGAGATAATAAAATATTACATTAAGTAGTTATCTATGCACAGAATGATAATAATGATAAAATTTTAAATAATACTATCCTTAAGTTATTATACATATGTTATCATTGTAAACATAAAATTATGTAGATTACAAACATAAATTCAAAATATAGTGCAGTTAATTATCTATATTATTATATCTCATAATTTTTATTATAGAAAATATTAATTATGCTATAAATAATAACAAAATTATTTTTTTCTTTATTTAACATTTAATTTTTTTATAAATAATAAATATAATTTATAATTTTTATAATTGCAGAAAAAAATTTATCAATATTTATTAATATTTAAATTTATTAAATTTATTATAAAAATATTATAAACATAAATCATATACTTTCATAATGAAAATGTAATTCTTTTATATAAATTTTACAATAATTTTAAAAACTGTACAAGAAATATTTTTCAACCTCTTTTTGTATTCTATATAATTCTTAAATGAAAATTCTAAAAATATCATTATTTCTATTTATAAAAAAAATAGATAATTAAATTTCAATCACCATATTATTAAATGTATTATAAATATTAATAGATAAAATTGATAGAATAATTATTTACAATAATAATTAATTATTAATTTAAAGTTAAATAATAATTAATTTTATTTTGAAGTCTATTATGTTATATTTTTATAACACGATAAATATAACAAAGTTTAATTTTAAAACTTTGATCAATTTCTCAATATAACTTGAAAATTATTAGAATTATCATATTAAATGAAAATCAATTATTTTATCGTTATTTTTATTATACACTTAATTTTTTACTTTATACAAGAACTACAAATGTATAATTAATTTTTCTTACATATATTGAAATGTCATTTAATTTGAAATTTAAAAATGAAAAAATTAAAATTGCATATAAGAATATTTATGTATTTTGTCAACTTTTATTGCTAAGAAATATATAAGGAAAAAAAAAACTTATTTCTATAATAAATTATTTTCAATATTATTGTAATTCAAATTAGATATTATGATTTAAATATAAAATGAAAAAATTATGAATGCGTAATAATTAGATAGTCTTCATTCGAAATATGATTTTAACTAAACAAATAAAAAATAATTAATCACAAATATAAGAAACACATGATATACTAAAAAATGAAAAGCGCGCATTTTATAAGACAAATCTATGTAAACGAATCAGGATGCGTGCGCGTTGTATCATATCCGAAATAGTCAATGTTCGATGCTGCAGTTGCTCCTTCAAAAACCGTATTTTTAGCTGTCAAAAAGAGAAGGAGATTCGTGGTTATCGCCCTCCTTGCCCTACCCCGCATTACGGATCCATGACAGAATTTAGAATTTAGGTTAGAAAGGCGGTCTCTTGCTTTAATATAAAAAAAAAGATGTGTCAAATTTTAATATGGAACCCAGTTGTTTTTTGTCAGTATACGATATCTGATGAAGGGTTACCGGATTATAGTATGATAACACACTGTCATGTAATTACCTTTATTCGATCAGTGAAACAAAATTCCCGCTAGGAAGTAGCATATGTTAATTGATCGAAACGCGCTCACTAGCTTGCGGAAAGCTCGCGAAGTCCCACGTTAACGTAAGAAGAATCCTTCGTTATTCTCGTCTATCCCCTTTCTTCTCTCCTCAACCAACCGTCGATCACCAATCCCGCCGCGTGCAACAAGTATACTCTGAACATAGCTGAATATTAGACTTCGACAAGATCGACAAACCTTAAAAAATTCTTTAACGTTACGTAATCATAGCTAAAACAACACTATCGTATCTCGTTAGGTTTCAAATTTCAAGTCATATTGCCAACACTGTTATCATATCAACTCTTTGTTATTATGCCATGTTCAAATCAATTACAATAAGAATTTTTAATTATGTAAGTTATAACTTGAAAATAATAATGAAAAAAATAAAAAATAAATAGAATAAATATCTTTTTTTAAATTAAATTTTATCTTTTAATAATATATTGTTGTGGTATAATGTATTTATTTTTATTATTATATTTATATGTTAGATTGCGTAATCATATTAATTGATAATATATTTATTAATATATAGTAATTATTATTTTTATTATTCAATAAATAAAATATATAAAATATATCACAATGTACTTTGTACTTTTTGATAAAATTAAATTAAAAAGTTTACGATTATTGTTATGAACAATCTGTTTTATCCTGTATAATTTGGATAAAATTTTGTAAGTTTTAAAAATAGCATAATATATAATATATAATATAAAATATATATAGCCTAAGAGCATAATAAGATATAATAAATAAGTAAATATTTCTCATTTATTCATGTTGTATGTTTTCATATTATATATTTAAATTTAATTTATTTATTTATATTAATTTATATTAATTAATTTATTTATATTATTAATATTAAATTTAATTATTTATAATAATTAATATTAAATTAATATTAAATTTATTTATAAAATGGTTGTAATTGTCTTATGTTTTAACTGAATATCATAAGTTTTTGCTCATAAGGGATAAAATGCTTTACCGTCTTATCCCAACTTGCAAAAATCAATGATCTGCTAGAACATAACGGCTGCGGCTAATGCTTTTTCAAAAAAATATAATAAGAATGCCAATTGAGGAAAGAAATATATATAAATTTTGAAATGTTATTCAATTTAGTGACACATATATATTTTTATTCATGATTGTAATTTAATGAGATGTCCACGAATGATTCAAGAAATAAAAAATTATTTCTTAAAATTTAAATTTCAAAGAATTATCTCGAAAATAATTTAAAATATTATTGAATTGAATATAATATATTAAAATACAGTTAACAAAAACTTTTCAAATTGGAAAGTTTAAAAAATTGTTTATTTGAAAAATATATTATTATAAAACAAATAGCACATTTTTTATTCCAAAAATAACGTATATACCTGTATTTTTAATAACAAAAAAATTTCTGATATAACAAAAAACAACTTTCTGAATAACAAAAAAATTCTGATTTCGGATTATACAGAAATGCTCGTGTCACAAACGCTGATTGCTGCGATATTCTCATATTTCCATATGTTTAAGCATTGCACATATATATTGATATTTTTTCTTTTCTAACTTTTATTCCTTAATTCCCTATCTACTATTTTTTTCTTATTTTTATCAAGCCTGTTTTAATTAATTCTTTCAATATTAATCGAAACTACATAACATCTCGTTATAATAAAGTATCTAAACAATACTTTTTATAAAAATATATATGAAGCATTATTAGGAATTACTAGGAATTAATAAAATTGACAGATTGATACAACCATTTTATTAATAAAAATTATACATATTAAATATTAATATGATAAACTATTAGATTATTAATATTAGAAATATTTAGTATTTTGAATATTTATCAATTTTATAATCAAATTTTCATATAAAATAATGAATAAATATCTAAAAATCAATTTTTAGATATTAAATATGACATTGATACAAATAAGATATTTATTATATTAAATAATAAATTACACATTAACTATCATACTAAAAATTTGAGAATATTTTCCAGCAAAATTGAATCACTTTTTTTCATATATTGTGTTAATAATTTTATTATTATTATTATGCAAGAAATTTTTATATTAGTTAAAAAATTTATAGTATTGTTTTTTTATCTTTATATTAGGATTAAGCATTTATATTTTTACTTGTCATTGAACATAATATTTACTTGATAAAATTCTGTATTACATACAGAAATGTAAAAATATTTGTCGATAGACAATGATAAAAAATATAATCTGAAAATCATTTAACATTTAACAATATAAAATTTAAGGCATACTTTTATTAGATAAAGTATTACAAAAAATTATTTAATCTTCTTCTTCTTCTGGAGCAGCTCCTCCACTTCCTTTACGCAGATTCTTCCTTTTTACACGGCCAGGTCTGCCACCACCAAATGGAGATTTTAGTGAAAAGTCAATATGTTTCTGTGAATCCAATCTTACAATGAAAGATGGAATGTTCACCACTTGTTTGCGTACTCTGAAATAAGATATAAGATACATTTTATGCATTATATTCTTATTTCTCAATATTCTGTATTTTTAGTATTTCAAAATATGAATTTATAATGCTATTTAACATATAAAAAAATATACCAATTATTTTTAAAATGAATTTATATCCGTTAATATATAACAGACGTTAAGTGTAGTTACACTAACACTTAAGTGGCCTGTCTGAAAGAAAATATAATATGTATCCATTAATACATAACAGACGTTAAGTGTAGTTTTACTAACACTTAAGTGGCCTGTCTGAAAGAAAATATTATAATGTATTGCTTCATATTCTTGAGCATCTTAGCTCAATACTATAATATAATAACTCATCCAATATTTAAATCACATTTTTTTCTATCATTTTGAAGAAATAATCAATCAGGAAAAGTATATGAATACCTGCAGTAGTCAAAAGACTATTACTACCATATTTTATAATTAAGTAAAATTAATAAAAGCGATTGAAATACTTGTTTCACAAAAAAATAAAAATTATGTTTCCAGATATGAAACCAGATAAATATTTATTTTTATCTGGTGATTAATCAGGAGATTAATATTGCCTTAAAGATTAGAAAAAAATCTGTATATAATCAGTTATTTCTTGCCCATTTTTTAAGGCATATAAAACTAAATTTAGTAAAATTTACCTAATATGACGTTGACGAATAAGTACACGAGCATGATGTATAGACTTGGCAAGCCCTAATTTAAATACTTGAGTTTGGAGTCGTCTTTCTAAAAAATCTTCAATTTTCAAACCAAGAACATAATCAAGCTTCATACGGCTTTCATCTAGTACTCCAATTCTTACCAAACGACGTAAAAGAGCATTTCCTAATAAATATATATATATTTCAATGTATAAAATGTTAAAATATAGAGTAATAATATTAATTATATATTATATTTATCAGTAGAATATATCGTCAAAACTATCAATCAGACAAGAGGTGTCAAAAATATACATTCATCATAATTATTTTATAAGAAAGTTTTAAGAATTTATTAATTTAAAAATATATATAGTTCATTTCATACCCTCAAATAAACGTTTAGGATCCTTCTCTTCTAAAGTAAGAAGTTCTCGAGCAGCTTTTCGAATATTTGCGAGAGTATATTTAACTCTCCATACTTCACGCTTGTTACGAAGGCCATATTCACCAATAATTCGTAATTCTTGATCTAAACGAGCTTTTTCATAAGGTCTTCTTGGGGTAACATAAGTTTTTGAGAAAACTGAAGGTATTCTTCCATTCACCATTTTGTATAATCCTGAGATGTATTTAATGAAAAAAATGTTTGTCTTATATATTATATATGCATCTTTAAAAAAAACAAATTTATTATAATTTTGTGATATTAAATTTCTTATATTGATTATTAAATATAAAATATATTTAATGCATATAAAACTTATATTAACATCACGTGTACATTTAAAGATATGTAATTAAGTTTAAAAAAATTATTTAATTCGCTTAATAATTAATTATTTTTAAAAAAATTAATAAATTTCAGAAATCCATATTGTAATTAAAATAAATTGAATTTTTAAATAACTTTTAAATAAATATCATACCTTACTCTCAATTGTGCAAGAGTAGCAACTACACTGCGTTGGAAGAAAAGTCGAAATGGCCGAACTCACATTGTAAAGCTATAATTCTAGAGCGAATGCAGCGCTTAAACAGGAAGTCTGATACATTTTAACTAGCGGCTTTTTTAAAAAACATACAAAAATATTAGTGTTTAGTAATATCTTATATAATATTAAATTATTAAATATTCTGATCAAAAATCTATTTATATTACTTACATTATTATATATAAAAAATGCTTGTTTTCTTATTTATCATATTTGAATAAATATATTAATAAAAAAAAATTAAATACTTTTTTTTAAATATTTTTATAATATGGTTTTCTTTACATTATAATAGATCAATTTATATACATAATTCATTTCAATATTTAATGAATGATATATATGTATATATATTTTATCAATTTTTGTATTATAATAATATTACATTGAAAAATATATTTCGTATTTCTATATAAAATAATTAATAAATTATTTTCACTACTTTTTAATTATAAATATAAATTTGAAATAAACAATTTATTCGTTATTTATTTATATGTATTTATAAATATATTATGAAAAATATTGTAAACACATTTATTTCGAAACAATTTTTAGATAAGAAATTAATTTTATAAGCCTTGTGATATTTTTATAGAATTTTGTATTCTTCATTGTTGTTGATATTATTTTAATTCTATTTTTGTTTTAATTTTGTATGTTCCATACAAAGTATGTACAAATATAATAATAAAATAACATTTGCAATATGTACATAGTATTTTATAACAAGCAATAAAATTGTTTTTATCTAAATTTTTTAATTCTAACCTAGTATAAATTTTTATGAATATTCGAAAAATTTTGATATTCATAAATTCTTTGATTAATTATAAATATATCACATTTATTATTATACAATATTATGATATATACATGAAAATTTAGTATTTAAAATAAATATCCATTCTTTTTTTATGTAACATTATTCTAATAGAATAAATTTAAAAAAATTTTTTTTAAAGCTTTTTGAAAAATTATTTCTAAATTTTATAATAATTAAATGTATTTTGTTAAATATAAAAATAGGAAATGATAATTTGAGATTAAAATTAATAAATAATATATTTTGTATTTTTATATTTTTAGATAAAATATAATAAAACATTTCATATTCATAAATCACGTTTAATTCACGTTTCATATTAAGTCACGTTTAATTCACGTTTCAGTTTAATATTTTTTGATTTTTTACTGGAGAATGTATCGATATGCAGGGTTATTCTATTGACCCCGAACATAATGAGATGAAGATAAAAGAAGATGTAAGTAACAGTCACGTTTATAACATACTCAGTATCTTGGTGACATTAAAGTAAGCATTAGGAAAGTATCTTTTGTTTCACTATTGTGTTATATTTAGAAATAGTTATTATAATTTCAAATTCATTCATTTTTAAGCTTCCAATAAATTTTATGTTATGGAGATTTTTGGAAGTGTAAGTATTTCAATTTTATTATTTTTGAATAATAATTATTTGATATAATTTTTGATTTTTTATGTAATGAATTTTTTTTTTAATTATAATGAAAATGTCTGATAAAGGGTAAATATTATTATAGGTGAAGCTATATGACTGTTTAAATAATTTTATTTAACATATTTGTTTTGTATCAACAGTTATCTTTTAATAAAATTAATTATAATATTTTATACTTAATATTATATAAAAAATATAAAAGTATTGAAATAAATATATTAAGTAAAGTTATTTTGACAAAATTTATCTTATAAATTGAATAAAAAGAGAGAAAGAAAGAGAGAAAGAGAGATACTAAGATATTTGAATAAAAAATACCTCTAATTAGAAAAAGAGGTGTACTGGATTGGAGATGATTTATGTGGAGCAGTATCCACCATTTAGTATCTCATGTGTTCATTTGCATTATGAGATTGCAAGTTTGATGTCCCAAATTTACAAGTATAAGCTGAAAAAGAAAATAAAAAATTATCTATTCTACGACTATCATAAATATTGATCTGTTATACAATTAAATATATTAATGATTTTAATAGTATTGAAAGTAGTACTTAATAATATTAAAAACAAAATTTTAATATTTAAAAAAGTATTAAAATACAATAATTATTAGAAATGTTATATTTGTGCCAAACTATTAATTATTACTAATCTTTTTCATAAATTAATTATTATTTATCTTTTTTATAAAAAATAATCATAATTTATTATTTTTATACGTTTGAATATAGTTTATGACTAAAATAAATAATTAATAAATAAAAAAAAATATTATTTTGTAATATATTGATGACCCAAGGAACTGCATTTATAGATAACAATTATAATGACCTTTTAAAGGAAATTTATAACTCACGTGAGCAAACTCGTGCAAGATATAACATATATTTATTACAATAATAAGAATAATTTATGTATTAATATCTACATCTATTGTATGATATTTTTCATATACATTATTTTTTTGATTATTTTTATGAATATAGATACATTTGTATAGTATCTTAGGAAAGTTTATTATTAAGAAAAGTATTTAATTAGGAATATATCGTTTATTTAAATATATTTTTGAAATTAAAATTCTTTTTTTTTTTTAGTATCCTATTTTGAAATCTTTTCTCGCGGGATCATTATCTGGAACATTTTCAACTATTTTATTTCAACCATTAGATCTTATTAAAACCAGACTTCAAAGCAAAGTAAATCTTCATCTTGAGTAAGTGAAAAATTTTATTTTCTTCATTATTTTATAAAATTATATATAAAATTTCTTCTTAATTATTACTATTTTATGTTTGATCTAGTACTCCAAAAACTAATACTTTAGGTACAGTAATTCATATCATTAAAAATGAAAATATACTTGGACTTTGGAAAGGTATAACTCCGGTAAGAATTTTAAATTTTAAAAGAATTATAAAGTTTAAAAATTTTATCAAGATATATTAATTAAGAATTTTTTAGTCCATTACAAGAGTTGTACCTGGTGTTGGATTATATTTTTCATCATTACATTGGTTAAAGCATACATTGCATGTAAAAGATCCACTCACACCTACAGAAGCACTGTTATTAGGCATTACTGCAAGATCTATGTCTGGAGCTTTATTAATTCCAATAACAGTAGTAAAAACACGTTTTGAAGTACGTGAAATTATTATAAATATATTTACATTTTTTATATAATATATTATACATCATAGAAAGAAAAATATACAGAAAGTAAAATTAGATATGTGATTAGGCATAAAAATACTAATACTAATAATCTAGAATATTCTACTTAATACGAGTTGCATGAAATTACGAAAATATTGATTTTATTTTCACAGAGTGAAATTTATAAATATAACAGTGTAGGAGAAGCATTGAAAATAATTTACAAGCAGGAAGGAATAAGAGGTCTTTCGAGTGGATTAGTACCAACATTACTAAGAGATGCTCCTTACAGCGGCCTTTATCTCACGTTTTATACACAATTAAAAAATATTGTTATAGAAGCAGGTAAATTTTTCATTAAAATTAAAAGAAGTCTAAAATCAACTTATTCTTATAATAATTATATGTTTTAATATAAATTTTGTTTTTAGATTTGTCCTATGTCAAATCATCTGCTCCAATTCATTTCAGTTGTGGAATATTAGCAGGAATATTTGCTTCTACTGTAACACAACCTGCTGATGTAATCAAGACAAAAATGCAATTATATCCTAATGAATTTAAAAATGTTCGTAACGCAGTTTTTAGGATTTACAAGAAATATGGTATGTTAGGATACTTTAAAGGCATTGTTCCACGAATATTGAGAAGGACATTAATGACTGCAATGGCTTGGACCGTATATGAAGAGGTAGCAAAATTATTAAATCTTTCAATTTTTTATTATTAAGACAATATAAATTCTAAAACAAATTATACGAATTAAATAATATATTATTTTTAGGTTACAAAATTTATGGGACTTAAGTAAAATTTTTTCTATTTAATGATATAATTTTTTGATTCGTTGACATAAAATTTAAAAAAATGAAATAATTTACGCATGATAAAATCAGTCATTCAGCCAATACGAATATTTACACTTGATATACAGTATTTTAGTTTTATACAAAGATAATTTGATTATAGCAAATCATTGTATCATAGCAAATATTACTACTATGTACAGTATTCAGATAGAATATCCTATCGCTCAATAATATATTGTTCATGTATATATTTATTTAATAAATTTTATAATTTAATGTTAAAAATTGTACAGTATCTATTATTTTGTTTATAATTCTGACTATTTTAATGTTTTGTATGTTTTTCAAAATAACCTGATACTTTTATTGTAGTATTGTTTTATTAATTTTAATTAACAATTTTAAGAGTATTACAATGCAAATTATAGACAATTTACCTTGATATTTTTTATCATATGTAGCCTAGAGTAACATTTGCAAATAAGAATAAATTACTAATAAATCTGTTTTTAATTTTTTCCCTATATCATAATATAATGTTGATAACAATAATTATGTATTCAATTCTTTTAATTTTATGATTTTTCTTGTAATTAACTTCAAGAAAACGCGATGTAATAAAAATGAACCAAACGCAGGTGTATAAAATTCATGATTGGAATTTTTAGATTATGCAAAATCTTTACCTCAATATTATATTAAGCAGTGTGCAAGTGAGCCTGTTGCATTGGTTACATCTCCATGGCATGTCTTCTGTCTGAAAATAGACAATACAACTTTCAAATGTTGATGATCCTCATTATTTCTTCTTTCATATTAATTTAAGTCGTTACCAAACAGCAGGATAACGTACTCGTATATTATTTGTTAACCTTGACCTAATACATGACATATTTAACAAAAATATCATACTTCTGTCGGCTACATGTGTGAAAGGTAAATTACATAATTAAAATTGATCATCTTTGATTGTGACATTGGAAAAATAAAATTATTTTTTAACCTATATAAAATTAAAATAAAAAAAAATTGATATATGTTGCAAACTTGTATTAACTGTCACAAAAATTATAGATGATAAATGTTATTGATCTATTGTTTGTTAATAGAAAAATTTAATATGAATTAAGAAATTTATTTTTTGTTTTGTATAAATGAAATCTATATCAAATAATGTTTTATTAAATCTATTTTTAGTAATCTCATTTATAAAAGAATCTAAAATATAACAATATATAAGTGAAAAATGAAAATCTATCATGACAAAGACAGCAAATTTTAATTTTGTAATTTTGAAACAATTAGAATTTTTCATTATCAAGATTCTTTTCATCCCAATGCAACAAAATAAGATGATCGTTTTTTTAAAGTTGTTATTTTGATATTTTGTTTTTTCTTAAAAAAATTTTTTTTTTAATTTAATTGGTTCAGAAAACAAATTATTAAATATATAAATGATTTATTATGATTTAATATGAATACACAAATGTAGTACGCGCATAAAGTATGAGTTCTCTATAAGCCGAAATGAAGGGCGCGACAAAAGAATAAGATATGATTAAAGGAGATGTCCTCGGAGCACCATAAGATACATTCCACGTGACCTGTCATCAACCTTCAAATCGCTGTACCATGATACTATGAGATTTATATGTATACAACTTTCTAATAGAAAAATTTGACCGAGCTTCGCCATGTCCTGTCTCTCAAAACTAAAAATAATGGAGAAAAAATGCATGCAAAGGGAAGAATGCATCATATATGATACATGTTACTCGAACTTTTACAAATAAAGTTCAAATGACGACGATAAGACTATATGCCAAAATTACATTCTGAATCAATAATAGCCACATGGCTGTTAAATAAATATACATTTCTGGACTATACATATGAATCTGTATAAACTATTGCTTTATTGTCTTAAATTCAAATATTAAAATTGTTCCTTTTGAGTTCATAGCAGAAATCTTCCCTGACTAATTGATAATTTTTCAATTTTAAATAGAATATGCTCCAATAAATTGCAATCAGGGAATAAGGAAAGTAAGAGTAGGAGATTATTATCATAACTTTATAACTTTATAAGCACTCGAATATCGTCGAAAATAAAGATCACCATTTTGAAAATGTCTAACTTTCCTAATAAAAGGACATGTTTGGTATTATCATTCCGATATAAATACCTCAGAAATGCGTAGTAGAAGCTAGGATTGTATAGTCACAGTCACACAGGGCACTGTTGTGGCAGGTCTACGGAAGTAGGCACTGTTTCCTCCACTAAACCACTAATTTCTTTTCGACAAAAAAGCTATGCAGTCGTTGAAATTATATAATTGATTTACCCTATGAAGACATTATACCGATCAAAGCAAGCATAGGTATACCTTCTCCTATCTTGCTCTGTAGACAATATCTATAATACTACATGATAAAAATACCTTTCGTATGGGAACAATATTACTATTCCTTGCTCGACATTACCTCGATGCACCGTTTTTCAGTAATACGTTACATAGAGCAAGCTCGTCACTTTCAAAATTAAACGCTGTACAAACAGGTCCATATGAAATTTAGTACAAGTGTTTCTCCGATTAATAGGCAGGACCAGAGACTGGCTCGCTGTGACTATGCCATTCTTCAAAATTACAGATAATTATCATGTATATATTATGTGCATCTAATGAAACTCACCTGGTAAAGAACCTGTACAGTAATTGAGACGAATATGCTATATTGTTTAGTGCATACCTGGCTTACTTCTCACTCACTAACCAATCAAGAGTTGTTACTTGTGACTTCGACTTCTAGATCGATGGCGTCGCCGGTTGTGATGACTCGAGCTTCGATGATCACGATTTCCTAAAAGTATGTAATAAATTTCTAAAATTCCTAAAATTTTCTTATTTAGTAATGATTAAATTTTACAATGTATATTATATTTAAATACCTTTATCTCGTGTATGACGTCGGTGATCATCATCTCGATGTCTCTCATGTTTATCTCTTGATCTACTTCTACTTCTGTGTCCCGAATTTCTGAATACAATTATGTAGTATTAGTATTATGAAACATTTTCTATTATATTTTATATTTAATAAGAAAAACATTTTAGTAATTATTTTACCTATGACTGCCTGAATCATGTCTGCCTTTATCGTCATCGCGTCTACGGCGTTTATCTCTTTCTCTATCTCTATCTCGATCATCTCTTCTTCGTCTATCAAGTTCTTCATTGGCACGTGCTCTTTGTTTCCTATCTTCTTCTCTTCTTTGTTCTTTTTCATCTCTAGCTTTTTCACGTTTACTCTAAAATTGTTTTCATAATAAATATTATTTTATTATTTAAAAAATCTATCTTTGTACAAAAATTATAAATTACCATAATTTCTTGAAGAGCACTCTTTAATCTAGCATATCCAACATGTTGTTTACCCATTAAATGATCATCAATTCGTTGTTGTGCATCTCCAACAATAAGAAATGCACCACATACGTCGCATACTTCCATTTGTTTTTCTTGTGCAGCAGCTAATTCGGCAGTCTAAAATAAGTTAAAGTTTAATTTTCTCTGTTTTTTCTTTACAATGTTAATATGATATATAACAATATTTACCTGATTATAATGACTATTGTCATTAGATTTCCTTAATGTTTCTCGTTCTTCTTTTAATTGATCACATAATCTCATTAAACCTTGAGCTTGTTCCACATTACCTTGTATACCACTTTGTTCTGCTTCTTCTACTAATTTATTAATTTTCTCAGTTAAAAGTGCAATTTGTTCTTCATTTCTCTGAGTTTGTGCTGGTGTTAAAGTAGGCTAATAAATAAGAATTGATAATCTTTTCATCACTCATTTTATATCAATGCATGTAACAAGATTGTTATAATTAATAAAAAAGAAAAAAAATATAATATTTTAAATAATATTGATTATTAGACATTTATTTACCGCTTCAGTTCTTCCAATAAGAGCTAATCGTTGTTTTCCCTTTATTATTTTTCTTTCAACTTCATTTAACATACTTTGACAAAATCTAATAAATTCATCTTCATATTGTTGTTTTCGATATGAATATGGAGCTTTTTCAAACAGTTCTCTAGCTTCATCATCATGTACTCGAGAACATGCACCCAAATCAGCTCTCGTATTAACAAATAAATCATGAGGACAAAATTTAACTAAATATAATTTACAAAACTGGAAAATAAAAATTCAATGAAAATTTATAATGAAATGTCAATACTCCGAAATTTGACTTTCTTAATGACTAATGTCATTGAAATATCAACATTTTCAAAAACTTACTTCAGGATCTTCCCAATTAAGTTCTTTAGGTTTTTCATTAGGAAGAACATTTCTGTTTCTTCCCATAAGTTCATCAAGCAGGGCAGCAGCAGCAGCAGCAGCCATTTCTAAAATTCTTTATTGAATTCGTTTATTAATGGTATATGAAAACCCACTGATAATTTTTATGTTGACAGTATTAAATTTATCGAGTTTGTTTGTATTTCACTTGAAGAATGTGATAAATGAAATTATATAAATTCATTCCAAAATAAAAAGAGTACACAGCAACATTAAGTCACTCAAACGAAGTGATATCTTGATTCTAACCCTGAACCCTTTTTTACTTCAGAAGGCGGTAGTGTAGCAAACAATATGGCGAAATTCATAGAAATACTTACATATTGCATGAAAGCAAACAAGAGAAAATCCAAATTTGTATTCCTTCAATTCAATAAACAATGCATATTAAACGAATCCTAACTTGTTTTATATTTCTTTCAATTGTCTATTTTTTATTTAGTATAAATATCTTAGAAAATTTAAAAAAAATATTATACAATATAACGCGAATCACAATATGACGCTCTCACAATCTTCATTACTACGTGATATAACATGAAACATCAATGTTTTGTTTCGCTACAATAAATATACAATATACACATATATTTATTTTAATATTATTTTCTTTATAAAAATAAAAAATAATTGAATTATTTTAATTCCATCTGATACATAATAATTTATCAATTAATTTTTTTATATATTTCTTGTTACATAAAATTCGTTTAAACAGATAGTTGACTATTTCTCCGTACAAATTTAAATGTATTTTATTTAAATTTTATATCATTTTAAATTAAAAATTATTCGATTTTTTTTATTTTTTAAATATTTGTTTAAAAAATATTTATATGTTATTAAAAATAATGTAATAACAATTTATTAATTATCACTTTTGAATTAATGTTGATTATACATATGATTATAGAATGTACAAATATAATATATATATAATATATATATAATTTTATATTCATTATATTAAATATAATTATCAATTTCAATTTAAAAAATATTATCAAATTTTTACAGAATAAAAATATGGAAAATACGAAATGATTAATAATTAAAATTGGATAATTAATTAACTATAAACTATATTTTATTTGAATAAATAATAATTATCCCGAAGTATTTTCTTCCTTCTTTTATAATTTTAATGCAATATGAATGATGAAATCACATGTAATATAATTAACGACAAATTTGTGATGATGAATGTAACAATGAATGACAATTATCAAATAAATGTCGATTAAATTTATTCGTATTCTTCATCATCAGGTCGTACTTGAGGAAATCTTCTCACAGGTTGATGTTGAGGTTGTGGACGTCTGTGCTGGAGTGGAATGTTCACTTCCTCGGGACTACGAAAAACTTGATTCACTGGTAAACGAAATTGTGGAAGATTGGTTGGCTGTGGACGCGCTGATGGTGGAATACTATTCAATGTAGCTGATTGTGGATTTGCGTATACCTACGTACATATATATATATATATATATTTATTATTTATCTTATCCTTCACATTTCAAACAATTGTTATTTTAATAAAATCTTACTGGTGGAGTGGGACGGCGAATAGGTGCAGAAGGAGTAATCTGATAGTCGCCAATCTCACGCTCATCCGGGTGAATGTCTGCCGGAAAATATCTTTCACTGTATCTCAAGGTCACATTCGGTTTGTTTTCAGCTTCAGCCAAGTTCAATGGTTTATAAAGATATTCATTAACGAAGTGATATTGCGAGCTTTTCTTACAGTTTATGTCCCCACTTGGTGGCATGCAAATTAGATGAACCTGTAACAGAGACACACTTATTGATGACCTCGGAGTTGAAATGATATAAAATTTAAAAGAAAGAAAACAGTTTCATGGAATAGTGAAATAGACAGAGAAAAACAGACACAATACATTCATATTTGTTATACTCTTCGAGAAAAAGAATGTAAGTAAGATTAATTTGAAATGGAAATGCATAATAGTATACGAGTATTAGATAGCCGAACGATTTATGATTAGCCTTATCATCTAATCGAATGGAGAGAACCAGAAATATTAGAGTGAAAATGTAGAGTGCAAAGTATATGAGAAGTGAAATTTGCTTATCAATAAATGTTTGAATCTGATTAGTTGCACGGTCAAAAGAAATATTTATATTCGGTGAATGTTTTCACCGAGCAACTCGGATTATGTACAAAAGATCACGATTTGTGTAATTACGGAACAGGTATGGAAAGTGTTTTGCATTTTTACGTTGAAATATAATTCATTTAAAAGTTGTTATGTACACTGTTGAAAATTACCTGATGGAATGTAAATCCTTCGGGACAAATCCAAGAATGTTTCGCGTTATCTTGACAATAGTGGAAGACCTCGCAATTAAGATCTTCATCGGCATAATAACCGGTTTGTTTGTTCACACAATCAAATTTACTTTGCGGTAAAAGAAGAGTCAAACGATCGGGTTCTTCTTTTTCTTCAAGTTCTTCAGCCTCCTTTAATTTTAAGACACAATTAAACACAATTATGTATTTGAATACGAACTTAATAAATAAAATTATTTGTATAAACTGTTTTATTTTTTTATAATATTCGTTCGAAATATAGATTTTTCGAAGTATTTTTAGAAATAAAATCAATTCAATTATCATAAAATGATTATTTCGGCAATCATCGTTTTTGGAATAAAGATATATAATTATTCGAAATCACATGCAAAAAATAAAACGATTTACTTTTTCGCGAAAATTCATTTCTTTCTTTTTGATGTAATTTACTATTATGTAAGCTTGAATTGTATGAAATTGAAAATATAGATGTAAGAATTTCTTATACTACTTTCACTTATTATAAGATATAAAACGTAACAGTTTCACCTGTTACAACTTCCAAAGTTTTATAAAATTTTATACTTGGATAGATATTAAAAAGATTTTAAATTATAAAAAAATTATTACTTTTGGATTTTGTGGTTGACCACCACGAAGAATACCACGCGGAGGTCCATTCACTCTGATACCTGTTTGATCAAGAGATGCAGCCGATGGTTTGCGATAAAGCTATAAAAAAAAGAAAAGTATTTCTTGGACGTGTTTTAAAACAATTTAATCTATATTTATTTTATGTCTATTATTTTAAGTCCCAATATGAATGTCTAAATGACATTTGAATTTTCAATAATTATTTATAATATAATTATTATTCATTATCTTATTATGAAAAAAATAGATAAATATATCCAGCCTGGAAATATATTTAGCCTGGAAATTTTTTACTGTAAAAATTTGCAATATAAAAGTTCAGAAATTATCTTCAAGTTTATAGGTTATCATCAGATGTCTTTAAGACTTCCAATAAGAAGTTTTTGTACTGTCTAGCTCATAAATGAAATATACTCGTATTCTTTCATACTTGTGAATGAAAAGTAATCGAACTCTTCCTCTTCAAATCATTCAAATGGAAGAATGAATGGAAGAAAGAAATCGTACGATTTTATACGATTATTTAATAAATATATACGAGTCGATACTTTAAACCAATTGAAAGTAACTTATTTTTACGTAAGTTGTTACATAATATGTTACGATACAAGTAATTGCAATATAATGGTGTAATATACTTTCATTACAATTAATAATATTAATCGAAAAATATACGAATTTATACTTATATTAATATATATATATATATATATATGTATAATAAAATGTATAATTTATAATTTATATTAAATTAAATAAAACATACTTATCACAAATACGTTATAATTTTATTGCTTACAGATGGTTGACTGCTTGGATTTCTGTAGGCAGGCGTTGGGGAAGGAGTAGGTGTTACAATGTTATCCTCGTAACTGTTATCGCGAAAACCTTGACCAGCGTTAAGGCCAGACGAGTAGAGTGGCCCTAAGCTGGACGATTTGCCGGGAAAAGACACTCTTGGTTCCAAATCGTAAGAACCTTGCGCTGCCACGGTCGCAGTTAATGCCGCAAGACACAGCCAATACATTCTACATAAATGGAAAACGAGAGAGTTAAGTGATGTCCATGTCGATTTTTCACTCTCTAAGACGACATGCGAGATGGATCTTTATAAATATATATTATACAGAGAAAATTTATCCTATTTACGGTGAACATGCGCAAGGGAAAGCGATCTTGGTTTTTATTGTGCCCTCGATAAAGTATGGTGATCGGGGAACGAAGTGGAAAGCGACGATATTTCATTAGATTCACGTAAAACGATGTTAATCTTTCGTATATATTACGAACATTTAATTTATCTTTTTTATTATCTTACAAACGTGTCTCAAATCGTCAAGAATTCTATGCAATTTTTTTGTATTCGAATTGATTGATGATGATTTCAAGTATGATATTCGATATTAAATAATTAAACGTTATAATTTCACTGGCAAATAGATATTAAAAATGAGGAACAGCTGTTGGAGAAAGAGGAGTATAAGGAGAAATGTGATGAATCATCGTTTAGAGAAAAGTGATATTTGGTTAAGTTTTAGCGAATTCATTCGCAGCTGACATCGCAGTGTGTAAATGCATTGAAAGCATAGATGTCGATGACCTAGAAATATCTAGAGCTAGGAGAAATGTGGTGAAATATTTTAATCTATATATATATATATATATATATATGTTCAAAGGAAACTGGTTAGCCAACAAATGTACTTCAACAAATGAAATTATCATATTTATCAAACACGGAAGAAATTCATTGCGCCTGTCAAATCTTTGGTAAAGATCTATTGTTTGTCTTGAATGAAACACGTGCGTTTACACTTCTATCGATAATGATTGTGGAAAGCACCTTACTTTCTAAGTACGTAAAACATGGATAGTGGTTTCACGAATCGTTGAAAACATCTCATTCGTAACGGTGACGATGATGTATGAGAGATCTGGGGCTTTCGATAAAAAATTTGAAAGGCTTGATATTATATACTAATTTCTCGCTTGTTAAAAGAAATTTCTTGTACATTTTTTGTACAACTATAACAAATATTAAAAAAAAAAAAAAAAAAAAAAATATCAAAAAATTGAAAAATTCAAACGATAAAATTGCAAATCAAATATCATTTTATTCTTTATTTTCATTTCTTATAGATTAAGTGTTTTAAAAATTTAAAAGTTCATTAAATAAAATTAAACAAAAAAAAAGTTAATTGAAATCAATTAAAAATTCTTTTATTTTATTCAAATAAAAACAATATTAATATCTGTAATTATTCACTCAAATTAAATTTAATTGTAAGAAATATCAGTATAAAAGATTACGCGCGAAGATAATCACAAGTAAAAATTAAATTTTAAGCTAATGATCTATATTTATCAGAGAAATACTAAAAGTAGACGTATAGATCACTGGATATTACTTTCTTTAAAACGAAAACGCGATATGGAAAATAGCGCTATATAAACACGTTACTTAAACACGTCGAATACAAAGGTCGAATGTAACCCGGTTTTTTCTCTGCTTTTTTTAATACAACTTTTACGCAACCTGTTTCTCAAATGATCTCGGGTCATCGGCGTAATTTCTACGCCGATTTACTTGATTAAGCCGGTCCATTTAAAGAAACAAAGTGACCAATAAGCGGCGACGATAGGATACGGGAAAAAGAATGTAGTTGTTGCTCTTAATGAGAATCTTGTCTTTACTAGGCGCAAGTTCGCAAACCGGCCGATCGTTAAGATATATAGTCGCAAACTTGGTTCGATCGGTAGCTCGAGTGAAAGTGAGAGGGTCTGCGTGTAAAAATGTATACTACTCAGAGAAAAATGGGAGCGTATATCTGTCTTGAGTGTTGCGAATTAAATTATGGTGTAAAAATATGCAGATCGTGAAACGATATCATACAAGGTTCGCGAGTTGGAAAGGAAAATGATTGCGAGTAGTGATACAAAAGAGGAACCATCAGGAATTCGATCATTTCGATTAATTTTTCGTGCTTTGTTTCTATGTCAGTTTCTCCTATATCGTTGATCAAAGAAAATAGTAGAAACTTTCTCTGCGTGTTGGATACATGATCAAACGTCTTTTAATAATTGGGGCAATTTTGGAGAAATTATTTTGAGCGAGTAATTGCGAGAATTTATTTTTCTTTTTTTTTTTTTCATTAAGACGAATTTATTAGGACAACCAGTTTCGTTTAATTATGATATTTTCTTTCGTGATGAATTACATTTTTTCAAGATTAATCTTTGAGAAATTAAAAATAATTGTAGAAGAATTAATTATGTAGCTTTGAATATGGATTTAATTGAAATTAATTTGTATTTGATTCTTATCAAGGTATATTAATAAATTAATATGATATATTGAATCATTTTAAATGTGAAGAGATGTAAGTAATTAGAATTACTTATATCGAACAAACTTTAATGATTTCTTAATGTAAATTTATTTTTTGTTTTTGATAAATAAAATACAAATAATTGAAATTGAAAGTTAATTAATGAAGGTTTTTCAAATCGTATCAAAGAAAGCAATTGCATAATGAGTAGAGAGATAGTTGTCAGACAACTACAAACAAGAAGAACGCGGTGGTATAATATAATCAGTGGAGGGTACACATAACTGGTCGGCCAGTTGTCGCACTTAGATATGCTATTAATGGAAATCTGGAACAGATTTTATATGTGATGACATTTTTTCCGATTCGATGAAAGAAATCTCTCCTTAGATCTGTCTTTAATTCTCGTATATCGAATTACGATGATACATAATTCCAGAATTTCAAATATGCAAAATATATTTTCGATTGTCAAATTTCAAAGCCTAGAATAAAATGAAACTTAATTATTTTATATTATATAAGTGAATATAGTTAAAAGTTTGAAAAGTACGATACAATTGAAAAATAATATTATAGAAATTTACATTTTATTTATAATATTATTTGAATAAAATATTACACATTTTTAAAATAAGTTATATTAAACGAGTAATTTATAAAATAATATCAATAATATAATGTTATTAATAATGATTTATTAATATTATTAAAATCTTTCATAAATTCTTAACTGCAGTTCCTGTTCGCCCTCGCACAACCGGTTTCCTTTCCCGTTTCCAAGGCACGTGCCATAATCTTTGTTCCTTCGTGCATAACGATAATTTCGCAAAATTTTTCATATTTCATGAGACGTATGTAATATCAAGATACATTGGTATTCAAATTTATTACATTTATTTGGATCGTTTTAAATTCATTTCGAATGATTATATCCGCACGTTCAAAAAAAAAAAAAAAAAAAGAAAAGAACACCAATGATACACAGATGAAAATTCAGATGATAATCATCGGATATAAAGAAACACTTTCACTGTCAAAGTTTTCGTCACTAATCTCACATTTTTTTTCCTGATGTTCCTTCATCCCTTCTTTATTTTTTTTCTCTCTTTTTTTTTTTTTTTTTTTAGAAACGTACTTTTTACCCCACTTACCTGTCAACGACGGAGGTAGAGGAGTAACAGCACGAAGAATGGATTGACAATACACAAGCTTTATCTTGGCCGGCCGGTTCTTCATTCTCTTATATAGCGTGTCTCGCTGAAAGTTACCTCCACCAAGTAATATCTGGATTTACTTTGGGGTAGTGGGAGATACTGACCGATGTATATTGTAAAACAAACATGTTCTTGAAAATTTTTGGTTCCAAAGATGATCTTGAACGAGAAATAATTAGATGTATAAATAATATACATAATAATATAAAAGCATAATTGTAAACTATGATAATTATTAGATTGATAGATTGTGAAGTCGTCTTAATGATGTAATTAAATAATATGGAATAATATGGAATAATAACATGCAATTTATTTCAAATTTAAATGAATTGATATATAATTGAAATAATCTGATAAAAACTTTTTAAAAAATTTTTGAAAGAAAAAATTGAAATAAAACGCAATATTTCAGAATTGTTCTTAATAAAGAAAAGGATTTTGAGAATTTCATGGAAGAGTAGTTATTTTTTACTATTTATTATTTTTTTGCTTGTTAAAATCTTTTCTTTCTAACTTTCTATTTTCATTTAATCATTAATAAACTGTTTTAATTTTATTTGTAAAAAAAATTTCTTTCATCCAACTTTCATCCAGTTTTTTTTGTCCATTCATTTTACAAAATGGATAGAATGTATAAAAATCTCAAATAATATTTTAATTTCTATTTTATGATTAAAAAATTTTTTGAAATATAATTCATGAGATAGCTTTAATTTGTAGAATATGTGACATGCAGATCGTAAAAAATCGGAGGTAATTTTAATTATGTTAAACATAGAATTTTCATGTATGTAATAAATCAAACATCATAGTATAAACATGTTTACAATATGCAGATGAAACATAATAAATATTTACAATTCTACAAAGTGAAAAAAAAAATTGTCATCAAGTTGGAAACTTTTAAATGAAATTCCTCACAATTTTTTTTTTTTTTTTACATAAATGCCGACAACTTATCAATAGAAATGGAAAAATAGAGAAGTAAATAATGTATAATTATTAGCAATATATACATATTTGTACATTAACAAATATTTTTTCGTGACTAATGAGATTTTAACGAAGCATCGGAAGAAAAAGCAACAAATTGATTGCACGCTTGAATGCAATTCTTACATCACCGATAGCTAAAGTCTTTTGATATTTTTTATCTTCATATACATAAGACTTCACACCGGATCGTTTCCGTAAAGTACTTTCAATACCAATGGGATCCCAATGAAATCGAATGAATTGACTTTCAATCACGCACTACATGAAAATTTCTTTTCAATAGTAGGTCGTATTTCGACGTCAAATTTTACAATGTTGGCTTTATTTGCATTCAACGTGATTTTAATTCTGATATACAACAATGAACTTTTATTTTCAACATATAATGCATAAGTCTTATTTCATCCATTTTTATTCTATACATTCCATTTCATTCTTTCATTTCTTTATAATTATGATAATTTTATGATATAATATAATTAATATACATAATATTATATTACATTATTTATAATAAAGTTTTATATATATGTATATTTATGATAATTATTTTCTTCTTTTTCTTTTCTTTATAGTTTATATGATTATAATTTTTAAAAAATTTTAAAGCTAAAGATTGACAATTA